TTAATTTAGGGTTTTTAATTTCTACGTAAGGTAATGCGTTATTTCTCGCAATATTAGTATTAATTTCTATCATGTCGTTGTCTTTTGGAGGCTCGGCTCCGTAAAATTTTCCTTTGGTAGAGAAGAGTCATTATTTGTTTGATTTTCCTCGAAATTTTCGGTTTCGAAATATTCGTTATTTTGATCGTATTGATTTTCATCAGAATAATATTGATTATAGTCTTGAGAACAATATTGATTATAATCAGAATCGTTATAATTATCGTAATTGTTTTCGTCAGAATATACCTCTTGGAACATAAAATTTTGGTTTGGATTTTGTTGGTAATTTGGCCTAAAATTTTGTATGTGAGAATTTCTTTTACTATACATCGTAGAAGGAACGTGTGATGTAGTCGACATTGGTTCAGGTTTAGTCTGTTCGTGTGGAGGTATGGGTCTAGGTTTAAAGACATTACGAGGGGGTCCGAAAACTTCTCTGTTAGTGGGAAATCTTTGGGGTACTTGTCGAGATGGGGGTAAATCAATAGGTTGACTTGGAAAAACTGGTTTCGATTGAAAATTAGGGTTTTGTTGATAATTTGGGTTATATTGTCTGTTATAATTTTGTTGATAATTTGGATTTCTGTTATAATTATTAAAATTTGGTTGATTTTGAAAATTATTTTGAGGATTATTTTGAAAATTTCTAAAATTTTGATTCGGTCTTTGCATTGATTGATTATTTGGTTTTTGATTTAAATTTGTATTTTGCATACTACCGTATAATCTTTCGAAATTTTCAAACTCATCAACAAAAGCTATCGCATCTTCTAGTGACTCTGGTTTTTTAATATACATGTTGTTTCGTAATTGACCACTACACCCTGCTATAAAAGTATTTAAAGCGGTTTTATCGTAGTGACTAATTTGACAAATCTTTTGCTCTGCTGAAAGGTTGGTGTCATTGCTCACCCTTTGAATTACACTACTTTTTGTAAGTTGAATTCTATTGCCAAAACTTGTCAAATGTTCACCCTTAAATGGTCTCATCCTGGTTAGTTCTTGTATAAGACAGTCTAAATCTCTTTTATCCGAAAAACACTGAATAAGAGCAGCTTTTACGGCCTCCCAACTACTAAGTTCGGTTCTGTTGCCGACCATTAGTTCTGCCTTACCGACTAACTTAGAATGGATACATTCAAAAATGTGTTGTTTAAATTCATCGTCTTCAATGTTGTTATATCTTATCATTAAATTTTCACATTTAAAAATGAATTTATTTAACGTATTACTATTGCCATCATACGTCTTAATATTGTCTAGCTTAGATTTAAAAATGTCCCAATTTATTTTGGGTTGTTGGTTACTGGAACCTTGCATTTTTGTATTTAAATTATTTTCTCTTAAACTTAAATTATTAATTTGTTCAACAATCGTTTCTAGATTGTTCTTGTTCATATATTTTTTATTTTATTTATTTCTGTTTATTTTATTGATTGATTTTTCTTTGTCTTAAAATTAATGCTTTCAATAAGCTGCGACCTATAATTATCTCTAGACTGACTCCTTATACAGAGGGTTCAGGAGAGGCGAAAAGGAAATGGCACCTACCTTGATAAGCTTCTTCCCTTTTCCGGACTTCTGCTATCTGCTCACCTTGTGGTGGTTCGTCTATTTCTGTTGGGGTTGATCCTCTTACTCTCACAGGTTTCACTGCACTGCCTCGAATGTAGCTCGCTCAGCACAGTTCTGCTTGGTAGTGATCGCCACAGAAAGTTCACAGTAATTTTGTTCGTAAAATCACGTTTTAGGGGTTGAAAACCGCGAATTTCACAGATCTACCGCACGATGCGAGACTCGAAACTGGGAAACAACGTGATCCTACCGACTGCGCCAATTAAATCACTTGAACGACGAGTGTTGTTTTTAAAAAATTTTTATTTAGTAAAATACAACGTGCACTTGGCAGAGACACATAGCAAAAGGCGGTGCTCTTACGAGACCTTACAGTTTTATATGAATGAAAGCGTTTATTAAGCGTTCTCCGTATTTCTGGACTTAAGCAGCTGTTTTCTTGCATATAACTATGGAGTCTAAAAGGAGGAGGCGAATCGAACGCAAAAATTTTGGGCCCAGATTTCATGATCTAAATGAAGTTCGAAAATCGCCGTTAGGGGCGCATGTGATGATAGGGATACTAGAAATACACAGCTTCTTATGGCAAGAATAACTATTTGGTTATAAATTATAGAGCCAAGTTAATATTTGGGCATATTTTTACCAGAGTTAGCTTTTAAAAACGTGTTTTTTTCTAACTGAGCAATGTGCGTGGCTAAAATTGTGAATACAAAACCTTAAATTTGAGTTTGAAAAGTTAGTTAGGTTATATATCAGATGCCGGTTTTATATATTCTTTTCCTAATTCCTTCTTATTATAAAAATGTTTTATTATGGGGTTCTATTTAGTGCATACACGGCCGAAGAAAAATATAAGCTGCTAAAGTAAATGTTTCCTTCAACTGGTGTACACAAAATATAGAAGTTCCAGCAGCAAACGTATCACCAGTTCAACCTTTGATTTGATGTAAACAGTAATTGTTCCTTGATGAGAAATGTGAATTAAATAGTTTATGATGTGAGTGTAGTAGATTTATTAATAATTTTGCTGATGCAGTTTAAAGTTCATAATTTTTCATGAAAACACTTGGAATGGACATGTTTACGTGCAGTTCATTGTGATACTAATAATAAACATTAAAAACTTTAAACTAGTAGTGGTTTATGACAAATTATAGCAAATGAATGACGAAAATTAATCAGGAATTATATAATATAAACATTGCACTTATCTTTTTACTTTTTTTAGTTTTTCTAAATTGTAAGCTTTAATGTCATCTCTGATGTCATTAGCAAAGTTTTGCCAATTATGACTGTTTCATAGACATTTAAATTGAAGATGTATTATGTTCAATGCCACCCTTTGAATAAGAAGACTAAGGAAGGAGCATATCAAAAATCTTAGGTACACCACGATGGGCCTCAAATATGGCCGACTTAAATTCCGGTTTATCAGTGTCGTTCTAATTTTATTTAAAAAATGTAAAACTATGATGTAGGGTAGACGTGGGGTAGACTCAATAATTCGTTGTTTTATTTTACGTTGTGAATAAATGTTGGTAGTTATTAAAATTGTTATAAAAATATATAATTGTAATAAAAATAGATAAGTTATAATAAGTATTTATTAACACAAACATCCGATACGCTACTGAAGCAGGTAAGTCAAATTAACATATCTAAATTCTTTGACATTAAATCTTTGACAAGTAATAAATAAAAGCTAAAATGCAAGAAAAATATATAATTTAGTTAATTTAAGTGAATTTCATAAATGATCGGTTTACTACACGTATGTATATTATACCTATAGTCACTTACTAGCGAAAAGTTGTTCCATTATTTCACTCAATTTTTGCCGAGATCTACCGCACGCTACACAACCAACTATTTTAGAGTCTTTTTCGATAAATCCCGATAGTGTCACTGTTAATTTAAGTTCTGCCACAATTTCCATCTAGATTTACTACCTTTATACAACTATCAGTAGTAGAATAAATAATAAACAACATAAAATAAGCTCCGTAAAGACTGACAAATCCACAAAATTTCAAATCAAATTCAAATGTGTCAAATGAATCGTCAAACAGAACTGTCAAGGATCCCCACCCTAGAGAGCTTTTATGGTGGCTTTTCCGCCCATCATGCATGAATACATGGATAGCATTATGCTCGTTCCTTAGTCTTCTTATTCAAAGATGTCACCTAACAATTGTGTTATATATATACATATGTATACATTTGATTTGATCTGTCATTAAAGTTCCTTCTGTTGATATCCACTTTTTTATTAATACGAGTATGAGGTAGGTTTGTAAATAAAATAATAAGTCAAGGACTAACGTATGATCGAAAAAAACGGCGTCCAGTTGGCTGGGAAATGAACATCTATGACATTCCCCCACATAATTTTATATATAAAATGATCGCTGACGCCGTTTTTTCGATCATTGTATGTATTCCTAGTGTATACATTCTATGAGTAGTATCGACTGACTAGTGAGAAAGAAAATCTAGGAACTAGTGGGGTTGCAGTAGGAAGGGTTTGGACTACAATTAATAGACTTTGTTAATGGTCAATCTTTATTTATTCCATCCAAATTATTATTATTTTAGGCTCTCTAGGTTATGTCATGCAGATGTTCGATTTTGGGCTATCTTCTCTATTAGGTAATATGATTTTTAAATAAATCTGTACACTGATTGTATATAATTTTAATGTTTTTCTTAACATCTATCATAATTTTTTTAAATAAATAATCATATTACTTACATTAGGAGCTTTGACAAGTTTTGGGTTACTTTTCTTTCTTCGCTTTTTTTTTTCATTGAAATATCCACTTCTACAGCCAGATACCGAGCTATTTCTACTGTATAGTTTTTTTTTTCACAATGCTCATTGTTATACTGCTAAAAATTCAACAAATTAACGATAATTTTAGCAAAAACAAACTTAAACCGTATAATAACAATGAAAATATAGTATCCCTATCGATCGCAGTGCCTCTACTGTCAAACCGAGGAACCTGCTTAAAAGAGTGGACAGAAATTTCAAATATGCCCATTGCCGATAAACCTCCTTTTTTAAGCCCTCCATAGTCATTGGCGCGTAAAGAATTTTCACTTCAACAATTTTAATGCAGGATTATGAGGATTTTGTGTTTTTGATCCCTCATTTTAGAGGATTTTCATTAATATGAACTCACACTGGGTCAATGTACGTCTATTATAATCAAGTTATTCAATAATACGTCTATACAAAACCTTAATATGAAGGAAAATTAATCAATGTAAAACACAAATTTAATTAAATTGCGTAATATAAAGTTTCGCGTAATTTCTAGGAAAATCAAATTAAACACCTGGCAACGCTGTATATAACGCGTTTAAATAATCCACGCACGAATTTAGTTTATCTCAACAACTAGCATTAACAAATCTATATAAAACTAACGATCAAAATATTTCAGCAGTTGGAAAACACTTCCCCTTCTAGTAATAGTTATATTGTTAAATTATTTGAAACAGATATAGTACAGCGGTGTTTTAATTTTATTTGTTTTATTTAAAAATAAATAATAGTATTGCGCAAAAAAATATCGCGTGTAGTAAATACAAGGTGTACAAGTTCTTTTTTACTTAGTAGGACTAAGGAAATTTTACAATGGTTTGTGGGCTAATATGCGTTTTGGCTGGTTTGGTGTTATTTTTGGTTATAGCGAAACTTTATATTAAATTGACAACGGGCTGGTGCAGAAGTAATGTGTGTTTAGTTGGAAAAACTGTCATTGTCACAGGAGGAAATACCGGTAAGTATTCTTCACATTATTTCTGTCTTTGAATTAAAAAGATTAAGGGAGGAGTTTACGGGAATATTATTTATACAGAGTGAATCTTAAATAAGTGCAAATATTTCAGGGGGTATATCGACCCCAGAAACACGTCTATGGTTTTTTTAGCGAATTTTTTTTTGAAAATTTTAATTTTTTTTAGTTCAAAAACATAATGTCTTCATAAAATGGCAACAGAGCTAGGACAAAATTTGAGGGAAATAACAGTTATTTTTTATACAAGACGATAAAATGGTATTTTATCGTCGACCGAAAAGATTATTTCATTCGGGAGACGATAATGCAATTTTATCGTGTATAAAACAATATTTTTTTTAGTTTTAAAAAATATTCAGAAATTATTATTTCAAGGAATTTATTACGAGTAGAAAAAATATTGTGCTGGGTTGGCGTTGATTTCTATGTAATTTGACAAATAAATAAAGCTGTCTCTTTAGTTGTCAGTTTTGAGTCAATATTTTTTAATACTCTTTCGTGTCGATTGCTGATTGAATTGGAGCCAGAAATGGCTCAAAACGAAATAAGTAAATTACCAACAGATATTCAGACTGAGGCCACAAACGCTATATCCAAACTACTTTCATTTAAATCCTGAATAACTTATGAAAAGGAAAACAAAAATTTTCAAAAATGGAAACAATTAAAAAACGTGCGAGAAGAAATAACGTTTTTAACCTATCCTCGATGTTAAAGTATCATTTAATCTATTTTTGCGGTTAAAGTACTGTTTTATCTACTATTTTTGATAGATATAAGACAATTTTAACAATTGCTATGGAAAAAAGGAATACATATTCACTAATAACGACAGTAGGTATGTCCCCGGATTATCTTTACAAGAGGAAAGACTTTTTTAATCATTTTCAGAAAAATGCATTCTTTAAAAACCATTTTGCTTAAATGCTCTAAAATGGTTAAGCCCCTTCACAGTTTTCCAAATTTTCATAGCGTTTTAGAGAAAATTAAAAAACGATTTTTTTTTAATTTTCTCTAAAACGGTATTGGAATTTGGGAAAGTATAAACGGGATTTACCATTTTACAACAAGCAAAATTTTTTATGAAGAATGCATTTTTTACAAAATGTCAATAATGAAAAGGTTTTTCCTCTCCTAAACAAGACAATCGGGTACATACTCTATGTACAAAAAAATATATTATTTTATCGAAAGGCAATATCCAAAACTACAGGGTGGTCGGATTTGGTCTGTTTTAACAGAGAAAACCTATTTCCTCACTAGATAGAGCAAAATCGAGATAGATGTGATGGGCTCAATTTCTGAGACACGTTTAATAGCATAAACCGCCTGTTGATATTTTCACTGCCTTTTTGATTTTTTTACCATTTTGAAAATTATCCATAACTTTTTTAATTCGCGGAATAATAAAATTCTGTAAAGACGTTCTTAAGGCACTTTTTTAAGCACAATCCAGTGGGGTAGTGAGTTTTTTCTATGCTTGCTCATTTTGTTCGAAATAATAAAAAATATAATTTTTTAAATGTAAATCATACTTGGCTATAAACTTAAAAAAATGCTGACGTTTAACCATTTCGAACGATATAAAGTTATGAGTACCTATTTCTAAGAATGAGAGAAATATTAGATTTTTCATCTTTGTATCGAAGTGTGCCTTGATTTTGTGTTGACCTAGTTGTCTAATTATTTTTATGGCAATTTAATATTCTATATTATTATTTATCTGCATAATTAGAGACTTTTGAAAAGGTAAATTAATATTCTATATTCGTTTTAGTAATTACAATTGAAATCGATACAATAAACAAAGAACAAAGCTAAAAAACATATTTTTGAGTGACGAATATAGTTTTCTAAAAAAAATCATCAGATGTTCAAACTGCGCACCTCCTTGTTGAATACATAATAAACATCTTTTGCGCACAGAGTTACAGCGATTTATTAGGCGAACTGGTGTAATAAGTCCAAAAGCTTGCCTAGTAGCCTTCTGCAATTCTTCTCTCGTCCCCAATGGTTCCTCCTTTATATATAGGTCTTTTAATTTTCCCCATAAAAAATTCGAAAGAAGTTATGGGGTCCCTTGTTTCAATCCGATTCTCTCTAAATTCTCCATTTAATGACGTTTTAATTGTAATTGGTAAAACTAATATAGAATGTTGATTTAACTTTTCAAAAGTCTTTAATTTTGCAGATAAATAATAATATAGAATATTAAATTGCGATAAAAATAATTAGGCAACTAGGTCAACACAAAATCAAAGCCCGCTTCGATACAAAGATAAAAAAACACTAATATTTCTCTCATTGTTAGAAATAAATACCCATAACTTTATATCGTTGCAAAGGGTTAAACATCAGAATTTTTTAAGTTCATAGCCAACTATGATTTTCATTTAAATAATTATGTTTTTTATTATTTCTGACAAAAAGAGCAAGTATAGAAAAAACTGACTACGCCACTGGATTGTGCTTAAAAAAGTGCCTTAAGAAGGTCTTTACAGAATTTTATTATTCCACGAATTAAAAAAGTTATGGGCAATTTTCAAAATGGTAAAAAAATCAAAAAGACCTCGTATCTCAGTTGGCAGTGAAAATATCAACAGGCGGTTTATGCCATTAAGCGTGTCTCAGAAATCGAGCCCATGACATCTACGTCGGCTTTGCTCTATCTAGTCAGGAAAGAGGTTTTCCATGTTAAAACAGACCAATTTCGACCACCCTGTACATCTCACTTTTTAGGTATTTTTTGTTCAATTTCATAATTTTATCTAACTTGTGCAATATAAATGTGAGAATTATTCGTCTTGCCGGATCCTCAAAAAAACCATGTGTAGTATCTTACTAGTATTATACATTGTAAAAACAAAATTGAAGTGTAATTTTATGTCATATTTTTTAATAAAAATCAACTACATATATCGGTTTTAGACAAGGGTAATATAATTAGAGTGTATTTTGAATCATAATCATAGATTGTTATTGAAATACTTCAGAGTTTTATAGATAGTGTGAATTCTTCAAAAACTGCACGGATTAAGGTTACTAAGTAGATTACTGCATTTTTTCAGTATATTTTACTTTTTTATATACCGGGTGTGTCGCAAAAGTGGCTAAGGTGCAACTTTTTATTTTTCAAAACATTATATTATTTGTATAATGTTTTGTATTATCTTTTGTTTATTTGTTTGTGTACCTTGTTTTTTTACTTTGTTTGTTAGTTTACCTTTGTCTACAAATTGAAAATATTTTTGACAATAAAGGCATTTATTTATTTATTTTATTTATTTTTTTTTTCAAATAAAAAACGAGATTTAGTATATTTGTATACGACATAAACTAGGATTGATTGACGTATTCAATTGTTTTTGGTCACTTCCTGTTTCACCGAAAATGGCTACAACTTTTGATTTTTAAATGGCACCCTCGGTATATTTTTACTTTATTCTACGAAAAATGACAGTCTGAGTAGAATGATATATCATAGTGAACTTTTGACATTTTTCCTTAAAAAAATCGTATTTTAAATTTCAATCTAGACTGCGATGGCTGTGTTAAAAACACTAATTTTTAATAAAGCAGCCTTGGAAAATAAATTTGATCGTCTAACGTTCTTCGTGTCCTGTCCTGGCCGGTTAAATGATGTCCAAATCGCATTTTTAATCATATCTCGATTTTTTCAAATAGAACAAGGGTGGCCCAATAGCATTTAGAAAAATCATTTTTTACGAATGAATTGAATACGTCCAATCAATCCTAATTTATATCATATGCTAACATGGTACACTTGGTATTTCGAGTCAAATTATCGTTATGAACCGCATGTTACAATTTTAAATAAACCATATGCGAAAATGTCAACAGTTGACATATGATATATCATTCTATTCAGAGTGTCATTTTCTATCAAATAAAGTCAAAAAATACCGATGGTGGTTTTTAAAAATCAAAAGTTGTATCATTTCCGGTGAAACAGGAGGTGACCGAAAACAACTGAATACGTCCAATCAATCCAAACCAAACCATACCAAATCTCGTTTTTTTATCTGAAAAAATAAAAAGTTAGAGGATCGAGCCACTTTTAAGACGCACCCGGTATATCCTGGATAGTCTCAATCATAAAATAATAAATACAAGAAGAAGTGTCAAGTCAATGTTAAATTATGGAAACAGCGTGGCTGCCTGGGTAACTAATTTTCAGATATGGCGGCTGGGACATTTGACATGATTTGACATGACATAGACACTTCATTGACATGACAATTTCAATTTTATGAAATTTATTTCCGTTTCCGGTTTTGATGGCGGGCTGTTCAGGAGGTTTAAATGAGGGTTAAATACTTTTACTTTTTCTAGTAGTAAATAATACAACAAAATTACTCAAAAATATTTATTTGGAATTTAGAACAATGTAAATATGCAAATCAACACAATTAAAGAGCTATAAACCCATAAACTACTGTATCAATATCAAAATATTTAAATAACATCAGAGATGCTGTGTTAAAGTGAAATAGTAAAGTAACAATGCACTGACTTACAGAAACTTGAAGATAAATAAATGTTTTCACAGCTTCACGGGCGTAAAACTAACTGGAAGCAAGAAAAAGACAACAGGAACCCACGCAAAACCTGGAATCAAAAAAAAAATATGTAAAAAAAACATAAATATAGGTACATAAGACTGTTGTGAATTAAATCAAACAGGACTTGAATGAAAATAAAATGAATAAAAAATATGATACACATATGATATACATGATATGATATACATCTAATACCTCATTTGTATTTTAAAAATAATCTACATACATAGCATTATTGCTATGAAAATACATAATAGGTACCTATGTGATATGTAATTACGCATTTCTGTTCATCTTGTAGATAATTAATGTAGGCTAATAATAGGTAGTTCAATAATCATAATTTACCTTGTGTAACTTGCTTTCAATTGCTCAAAATCACCGATCAGTCTTTAAAGTAGAGATACGGAAAAATCCTTGGTAAAGAATATCCCAAGATCCTTGGATCTAAAGCTAAAAAAATATAAAAACAGTTAATATATTACCTATTTTTACATATAATATGGCCCATACCTACTACACGCAGAAACGTCGATTTCATTATTTTCTTCATGTAATTAATACCATATATACTTTATTAAAGTGTTAACAAGGAACTTTATATCAAAAAACATCTTTGTACTTATAAATTTCAGACGAAATATCATAAACAAACTTCCGATCAAATCTAAAACGGCAAAAATTAAAATGGCGCCCGACCTTGCCAGAGGCCTCGGGAGTTGACACATGGCTGACACACAGACAAAGGAGAGGACGCCGACGTGCATAAAAATGTTCCGTAACTGAAATTGACAAAAATCATATAGAAATATTCAGATTTTTGTCTAGGACAGTCTAGAAGGCCATGCTTTCTGCCTGGGTAGGACCGCGCCAGAACTGTTTCCAATTTTCCGGTTTACTGTCACCCCCCTGGTCTCAATAATTTATATTTTGTTTGCATATTTTACTGATAATTTTTAAGTATCAGTAGTTGTTTTGGTATTAACATTTTCTTTATACTTACATCAAAATATTATGTATTTTATAGTACAAATAAACATAATATGAAGGTCTTTTAGGTGATAATATTAATTTTTGTCAAATAGAATTAAATCTATCTTTGCACTCTAGACTTTTCTACTAGGTATATAAAGTTCTATTAGTTAAATACCGTATGATAGAAAAAAAAAAACGGCGTCAGTGATGGCTAAGAAATGAAGATCGCTGTCAATTTATATGTAAAATTATACAGGGTTGTTCACCACATACGACACGGAGTATTGTAGCTAAACGATGAGATTTTTACAAATTATAAGTTTGGGGTTCGTTGAAGGACTATTAGAGCTACAATTTAAAAATATTTTTACAAGATACAGAGTGTCCCAAATAAATAAAAAATATCAAAGTTGTATTTTTTTAAATGGAACACCCTGTATATTATTACATTTTTAGTTTCTACGATTAAAATAAAGGTAAATTTGATTAAGGTTTATTATACTTAAACATTACGTTTTTGAAATATTTTCAATTTTGTGAAATTGCAGTAAAAATTTTAAAGCTTTATTTCTCCAAGGGTATCAATGTTTTTAATACTAAATATTTAATGAAGTTTATTTATTGATCAGTTATTGTGTTGCAATAATAAAAATAATACTACTTTATAGAGAGTGTCTAAAAATTTACTTTAAATAATTATTAACTTCAAACGGCAACAACTTCTTTAATTTAAATAGAATGCCCTGTATATTTTAGGAGAATCAGATGCACAATTAAATTGTCTATCAAATTTATTAACCATTTTTTACCTATCCCTTCAAGTTTTCGTAGAAAATGCATTTTCTTATAATTTAGACCTCATTTATCAATATATCCATGGAATATTGACATTTTAGATTGTTTTTAAAGCAACAAATGTACAAAATGTACAGACTAGTAATATTATCGTTTTTAGCAAAACGATAATATTACTAGCCCATTTGTATGCAAAAAGAAAACTATTTAAATCTTTATAAAAGAGTATACCATTAATTAAATATAACACCATTATTTCCGCCCATATACTAATTAATGACATACTTAATTGTGTTCGTTAATAAATTATTATAAATAAATGTGGATTTGAGTCAGAAATCAATATAATAATAAGTTATCAAATTAAAGTCTTTGTTGTTATAAATAAGCATTTATTAAAAAATGAAATATCATTTTTAAGGTGTTATTTTTTATCACACTGTCTAATGCCCATACAAAATTCAGTTTTTTAGTATTTGGAGCAATTATTATTAATCAACGCAAACAGTCAGTTAATGTAGTTTGAATACTGGAATCATATTAATTGGTCCTCTTTAACAAATATTTAAACAGTTTTTTTTATTTTTTAATGAAATAAACGAATTATATCGACAGTATTAGTATCTGTACTCTTTAAAAATTTGGTACATCTTTAAAAATAATCTAAAATGTCAATAGTCCATGGGTATATTGATAAATAAGTTCTAAATTACAAGAAAATGCATTTTCTACGGAAACTTAAAGAGATAGGTAAAAAATGGTATAATATAATTTGATAGACAGTTAAATTGTGCATCTGATTCTCGTAAAATATACAGGGTGTTCCATTTAAATTAAACAAGTTATTGCCGTTTGAAGCTAATAATTATTTAAAATAAATTTTTAGACACTCTGTATAAGGTAGTATTATTTTTATTATTGCAACACAATAACTGATCAGGAAATAAACTTCAGTAAATATTTAGTATTAAAAACTTTGATACCCTTGGAGAAATGAAGCCTTAAAATTTTTACTGCAATTTCACAAAATTGAAAATATTTCAAAAACGGTAAGGTTTAAGTATCATATTATTTATAATAAATCTTAATCAAATTTACCTTTTTTTAATCGTAGAAACTAAAAATGTAATAATATGCAGGATGTTCCATTTAAAAAAATACAACTTTGATATTTTTTTACTTATTTGGGACACTCTGTATCTTATAAAATTATTTTTAAATTGTATCTCTAATAGTCCTTCATTGAACCCAAAACTTACAATTTGTAAAAATCTCATCGTTTAGCTCCAATACTCCGTGTCGTATGTGGTGAACAACCCTGTATAGGGAATATCATTGATCGTCATTTCCAAGCCAAATGGACGCCGTTTTTTCGATCATACGGTATTTAGTCTTACACAAAGATTACACCTATTACACAGTCATCATTATTTCATTCATATCTGTCTGGTTCACTATTTCTGGAAAATACAACAATAATTAGCATATTACTGTAAAATTGTAATTTTCATTGTACATTTTTTTTTCAGGAATTGGATTTGAAACAGCCGCGGATATAGCCAAAAGAGGTGCCAAAGTAATCCTAGCTTGTAGGAACGAACAAAGAGCGAAAGATGCAGTACAAAGAATAATAAAACAAACGGATAATCCAAACGTATCCTACAGGATTCTGGATTTGGGTTCGTTGAAGTCCGTGAGAAAATTCGCGGATGAAATCAACAAAAATGAGGAAAGACTGGATATACTAATCAACAACGCTGGACTTCAGACTGTTCCTGAAATTAAAGGTCTTACTGAAGATGGACTACAACCTACCATGCAGGCGAATTACTTTGGACATTTCTTGTTGACACATCTTCTTTTGGGTAAGTTTTTTCTGTCGGTTAATATTTAAATCACAATCGAATTAATAAACATATAATAATATATCGATCTAGAACGATGTGCGATACCTAATTCTAGGTCATTTGGTCATTCCATTGCCCCTCACTTAAAATTCTGGCACTCCCCAGTGAGTAAAGTTATGTCACATTTAGGGACCATTAAGGAACAGTTACGTATCTGCGTTTTAGTGATTCATATCAGGCACCAGAAGGGTTTGGTAACGTAACAACGACGTCACCTAGATGCTCACTGGGTCCTTGCTTTTATTATTACCCTCCTTCCAAGTCTTCTTGGGTTTTTTCCGGTTTTGAGGCATTCATTGCATGACTTGTTTTGGAAGTCAGGTATCATCCATTCTGTGTATACAGAAAAGTCCACAGACTTCGAGACATAGGAAAATCAAGTCCATTTAGCGTGTGTCCAGATTTTGACAAGTTTTCAAAAATGGCAGTATTGTTTAGACTGACGCGACGTTTAATTTAATTTTATTTAAACTTGATAAGTTCGAAATAGAATAGTCAACGGCATAAGGATATGGAAAGCCACGGGATGACTACCATATTAAAGATCTTTAAAGATATCCCCGGGACATTGTCCTATAACTCTTCTTTATCATGTCAGGAGATCTAAACAACACGGCCCTCAGTCCCGGGCAATGTTCAATCATCAGAGGGTGTTAAGAATCCCCCGGCTTGACATGAGAAAGACTAAATTGCGCTTTGGGACTTGGAATACCAGAACACTTTTGGCGGCAGGCAAACTTGATAACGCCGTAAAGGAAATGCTCAATGTCGATATCCTTGGAATTAGCGAAACCAGATGGACAGATAGCGGCGTATGCGTGAGGAATGGGACGACATTTTACTATTCAGGGAACATTTGGGGATTTATCGTGAGAAATAATATTAAGAAGTCCATCCGAAATGTTGTTGGGTTTTCGGACAGAATCATTCTACTGCAAATGAATGCTAGCCCAACAAATATAAATCTTATCCAGATATACGCACCTACAGCTGATAAACAAGATGAAGAGGCAGAGGAATTATACGGACAGATACAGGAGGTGCTTCGATCTTTGAAACCCCATGAAATCACGATAATCCTCGGCGACTTTAATGCTAAGGTTGGAAAAGGCAGAGTTGATGACGTGACAGGCGCCTTCGGACTAGGTGAAAGAAACGGACGTGGGGAACTCCTCCTACATTTCTGTAAAGAGGAGAATATGGTCATAAAGAACACATTTTATAAACTTCACCCACGGACGTTATACACGTGGAAATCTCCTCAAGATAGCTATAACAACATCGTACGTAACCAAATAGATTATATATTAATTAATAGAAGATATCAAAATAGTATCAAAAGGGTTGTCGCTAATCCTGGTGTCGACATCGGCTCTGACCATAACCCCCTGATCGCAGACAGACTTTCAATTTAGTCTCAAACTAATATCGGAGAAAAGAGCAACAACACAGAGACATTATAAACATTGACTGAGGGAACCAGCAGTTGCAGACAGAATGAAAGTCGAATTAACAGAACTATGGGCAAGTAATAACAACAATCCCGGACTTAACGATAGTCCAGATGACATATGGAACAACATAAAACAAAACATTCTGACTGTTTCCAACGCTTTTCTGACACAAACAACAACAAAGAAAAACAAACCATGGATGACCGATGAGATACTCTCCCTTATGGAGGACAGAAGAATTGCAAAAGTCGAACAACAACAACAAAGATACACCGAAATAAATAAAACTATTAAACAACAATGCCAACAAGCTAAAGAGAACTGGGTAACTGCAGAATGCCAAGAGGCGGAAATTTTCATAGAAAACTCAAACAAATTACTGGAATCACAAAAAAAGCACCAATACCTGCCTTAAAACACAATGGGAAATTGATTTTAGATCCGGTAGATCTATGCAGCACATGGAAAAGCTATGCACAGTTATTATTTGAAGACCAAAAAGAAGACAGACAACCTCTCAATTGTGAAGACTTCACAATGTGTCCGTGTCGGGCCCGGAAATTCTTGAATCTGAAGTTCAGCATGCTATGAAAGCTATGAAAAATCGAAAAAGCCCCGGTCATGACAACGTGCATGCAGAAGTTCTTAAAATATTTGACTCAAAGCATCTCACATCTATTCAATCGAATATACGATACGGGTAAAATTCCAAACGACTGGCTAAAATCAACTTTTATAACAATTCCCAAAAAGGCAACTCCAAAAGACTGTAGTCATGCTCTGAAACTTTTTCTTCGAGTCATGCATGCTCGTATATACTCGAAATGTGAAGAAAAAAGCGGAGATACACAGTTCGGCTTCATTAAGGGACTGGGTACCAGAGAAGCTTTGTTTTCAATCAAGCTACTAATCCAGAAATGTTATGATTAACGCTAAGATGTCTTTGTGTGCTTCATAGATTATCAGAAGGCTTTCGACAACGTTAAACACGATATTCTCCTAAACAGACTGCTCGAGATAGGAATAGACGCCAAAGACATTAGAATCATACAGGAACTATATTGGAACCAAACCGCAGAGATAAGAGTTAACAAAAATTTATCCACAGACACCTTCAATGTCTCTCAGGGAGTCCGCCCGGGCTGTATACTGTCACCAATACTTTTAAATATATACGTCGAAAAAATATTTCAAATGGCCCTGGAGGGAGAAAGTGGAGGAATTAAGATTAACGGAGTTCCAATTAACAATATAAGATATGCAGATGATACGGCAATACTAGCACGAACTTTAGAGGATCTCCAGCAAATAATAAATAAGATAGGGGACATGGGAAATCGTTTCGGTCTTAAAATCAACGCTGCCAAGACCAAACTTATGGTAATAGGACGCCAGCCTACAATCAACACCGCATTGACCGTGGATGGAAATATTATAGAGCGAGTTCCACGATTTAAATATCTGGGTGCCATGATCAATGAACGATGGGACTGCGATGAGGAAGTTAAACTTAGAACGAATTATGCAAAGTCAACATTTTTTAAACTTAAAAACTTCCTATTAGCACGCAGTCTCCCGCTAACACTTAGACTACGGGTAGTGAAATGCTACATATGGCCCATCTTACTATACGGCGCAGAAAACTCAAGGCTAGAACCCTGAACCGCATCGAGGCTTTCGAAATGTGGACTCTCCGGAGACTCTTACGTGTGCCATGGACCGCACATGCAACCAACGAAGAAGTTTTAAGAACTGCAGGCTATGAACGAGAAATGCTTAATATAGTTAAAGAAAGGAAAGTCTCATACCTCGGCCATATCCTTAGAGGAGACAAATATTACATTCCTAAGTTGATTCTACAAGGAAAAATAGAGGGACGGCGAGGCCCAGGAAGAAAACAACATTCCTGGCTAAGAAACATACGGGATTGGTGTAACATCAGCGACGCAGCCACCATATTTCGAAGAGCCGAAAACGGCACTCTACACATTGTATGAAGAGTACAGACAACGGTCAATCGCCAACGTGCGGCTAAGCACAAGGCACAGGAAGAAGAGGAAGAAGTTCGAAATTATTTATCTCAGATTCTTGAATTGCATTTAAAAATGGATGTGTATCACGTTAATGAAAAATTCAGATAATTAAGTGGATTTATCAGAACAAGTCGGGATTCAGACAAGCTTTCGATAATAGACCGGTGCCTTCAAAAGCCTCCACTCCCAAAATTTTGAAAAATATGGCTGCGTTACTCCCCACATGCATAAGAAACCAAAAATTGAAGATAATTCTCGTGAGGAAACAGAAGTCTTAATATGCGCTGCAGTTGAGAAAAATCCAAATAGAAGCTGTGTACAAGTTGCTGAAGCAGTAAATTCAAGTAGGACAACAGTTAAAAGGGTCCTCAAAAAACATGGTTATCGTTCAAGAAAAGCTAGAAAGGTCCACGAAATTTTCCCCGGCGATCAATTTCGCCGTATGGAGTTTTGCGAAATAATGATGGAAATGTAAATCTTGACGAAAATTTTCTTAGAATTGTTTTTACTGATGAGTCGTCCTTTTCCTTATTAAATCGGCAAAACTCCACGTAAGTGCGATATTGGTCAAGAGAAAATTTGCACAGATTTTATAATGTGCGAATCCAATATCCACAAAAATTAAATGTTTGGGCGGGTATTGTAGGGGAAGTCGTTATTGGACAATTTTTTATTGAGGGCAATTTAAATACTGCGAAATATTTGGATTTATCGCAACAGCAAATTGTACCGGCGCACGGTGGGGTATTAGCATGAAAAAGGTGATCGAAATTCGAAAAAGCAAATGTGTTCAAGATTTCACAAAAAAAGATAAATGATAAGTTAAATCATGTCTGCCATGAATGGCGATGCTATGGGTGTGTTTAGTTGCATTCGTTTGTTTCAACGAAACGTCAAAGTTGTTACTTCTTACAGATAAGAGGTAAATGGCTAAATTTATGTTTAAAATTATAAATTGTTGTTGTTCTTGTGCTCTTTTTACGTTTATATTATTGTTTTGATTGAAAATGGCTCAGCAAGCTGCAGGTATGTATTCTACAAAAACGTATTATTTATTTTGATATTCTCTATACTAACGATTTTTTTGCAACTAAAAGTTAGGCGTTCAGAAAATTTGATTAAATTTGTGACATTTTTATTATACTTAGAGATTTAGTTGCGCATTTCGAAGAATTCAGCATATTGTCTATATACGTTTTACTTAATAAACATTGGGCTTTCATACAGTAAAATAAAATACTGCGAATTTTTGCGACTTTGCTGATAAAATGAGAAAAACATTCTTGGTTTCCTCTAATTTGCCAATCAGTGATATACTTATGCGAGGTGTAAACCGCGATGGCATTGTTGTGTACAAAGCGATCGCATTAGTGCTATTAGCAGTATAGCACAATTTGACATTAGTAGAGACTTTAGTGGTATGGGCATTGCTCGCGGATCAGTCGTAGCATTAGTAGTATTAGTTGAGATA